AACTACTACCAGGACATTTTTTTTTACCACAAGGGTTGCATGAGTTTAAAATATTTTACACGTTAACTGTGCCAATGTTTAATTAACTTTGCCTGTCATGTTTGTTAAGCTGCATTACTGCCCCGTAGCTAAAATGACGACTTTGAACCAAAATCACGAGGCTGGCCAGGAGCCTGGGGGGCGGGGGCAGTAAGAGGGGAACTGACCTCGATGCCTCTTAGGGAGCAACCGCCAAGCCTCCTGGGGGTTGATTCCCTCCTGTAATGGTTCCGTTCGTGACAGAATCTTGTGGACAAAGCGTGCAACTTCGGACGACACGCCACACAAGTCCCCTCCCGGCCTCTTCCCCTCCGTGCTCAGGTCACTGCCTGGTGTCCTCTGCCCGTGCGATGTCAGCCACACTTCTGGGGGTCTCCTCGGTGTGCCTGCCCATCACTGGATGAGCCCCCAGACAACTGCCACTCAGCACAAGCCACTGACTCGGCCTGAACTACCTTCTGAATCAAGAAAATACCAACAGTTCAGCTCACCTGCTTCCACGACCCGGAGACCTGGGAACCACGCAGCCTCGGCCGTGAACGCCTCTGGCTCTCCTGGAGAACCAGACACGCCGGGGTCAGCCTATGCCCTGCCCCCAGCCCAGCTGCCCCTCCTCACGCCTCTCCCGTCAGAGCGGGGCTCTGGTCACCTCGTATGGTCACCCACCCTCAAGGGACAGAACAGCCTCCGAAGTGGAGGCTGATCTTAGTGCTGTAGCCTCGTCAGCACCCAGGACCTCAGAGAAAATGTTGTTTTCCTTTCAGAAAGGCTGTTAATCTGGAACTTCATTAGCTTAGATTCAAATTCCCACCGCTACGATGACAATAACTAAAACAATATAAATAAAATTACATTAAGTAAAGGACTATGTGAGATGAGCTCATTTCACAATTTCTGCAACAGCAACCTCGATGGTGGGGCTGGATGGTCCGGCACGCACAGTGCTGGGACTCCGGACACTGCCGGCTTCCGGAAGGAAGGCGCAGGCCCCGCGCGGGCCGGGCGGACACTCGGAAGACACTGGGGGTCCCCCAAGCAACACCCCCAAATCTTCACTCCTCGAGGGGCTCCTGCCTTGGCCAACAGTTTCTAAATAGCTGGATGTTCCCCCCCCCCACCACCACCAAAAAAAGTTTTAATAAGTAGCCACCATTCGAATGAACAAAAGGCAGAAACACACAATGCTAGTCGACTAGAGGAGAGCGCGTTTATTCGAGGCGGCGGGCCCAGCTCAGGGGAGAAACACGGTCACTGTGAAGCCATGTCTGTGACTTCCAATCTGAGAATACAGCTTTGGTTGGGTAAGGAAAGCTAAGTTTCGGGTTTACGTGTCTGACACTCTAAGTCAGAGGTAACTTTAAATCGAGAGGAACACGCCATGTGGGGGAGGGGTCCCTAGGGGCTGGGAGATGAGGGAGGAGACCCAGGGGTGCCCACTGGGCCTGAGCGACAGGAGAGAGCAACTGCTGTCCAGATGTCTTCGGAGCTGCCTCCGGGACAGTTCAAGCATGTCACATCCCTGCCCCGGGAACCAGGACAGCCCAGTGAGGCCACCCCTGGGACCCGCCTCGCCTCGGTGATACTGAGCAAAGCCACGAGTGTCACGGTGAAGGTCAATTCTAAATGCACAACCGAACTTCTATGAATGTGAGAATGCTAAAAATTAAAATCCTAACACGTGGAAACAGGAGCAGCTTCTGGACACTCCTGTTTCCACGTGGTAGATTGCTCACTTCACCTTACACACACCAGGGGCTGCCAGACACCAAGCTCTCAGTGCTCATCCCTTCTACTGAGTGATTCCCAAGGATGACGGCCACTCCTCGCCGTGCCATCCCCCGCCCCTCCCCCCAGGAGCTGGAGACAGCAGGGAGGGAGGGACCATCACCCTCTGGCCATCCAGGTTCCACCCGCTGGATGGGGGCTGAGGGAGCACTGAGGGGCCCGAGGGCTGGACCGACGGGTCAGGGGAAGCCGGGGAGGCCCCAGAACCAGGCAAGGGGCTCGGAGCGGCCTCCGTGACGAGGCGGTGGCCCTCCCTGCATGCACAACCCTGACGGAGGCACCCGGCACCCGGTCCAAAAACCCGCCCTTGCGCTGCACAGCATGGCCTCTTCCTCGTAAACCCCAACACTCTCTAGGGAACTGTACCATTTAACAAAGGAGAATTTAACGGGACTGGCTTTCCTTGCACAACACGTGGGATTCTGGCCCCGGAAGCACGCGGCTCCCAGCAGGAATGTGGCCGTGGCCCCGGAGGGTCGCTCCAGCTCGAGGGAGCTCCTCCCCACGTGCAGGCATCTCAGCGACTTCCCTTTTTGTGAGGGAAAAAGGTGTACTTGGTGGGGTTAAACTCCTCCCAGATGCGCTCAAACTCCTCCAGAAAAAGCCGCACGCACTCCTCGTCTTCTATGATGAGCACGTTCTCCCGGTTGCTCTGAATGGCCTGAGTGGTCCAGTTCAGCGAGCCAGTGATCAGCACCTTCCTGTCCACGATCGCGAACTTGTGGTGCATGTAGCCCAGATCCTGGTCGTGCCGGACCTGGATCCCTGCAAAAAGTGAGACGTCACTGCTGCCTGTCACCCCGACTGAGCCGCCGGCTGGGCGCTCCGTCTCATCACCCCCACGCGGGGGCCCCTCGCTCCCTCCCCCCAGCCCCTCCTCTCACCACCCATCGCTACAGTTCAGGCTCCTTCTGCAGCATGGATGTGTTCACATGACTGATCGCGCTCGTGTCCAGTTTCGCGGGCACCATCACGTCTGGATGGTGACGGCGGCTGAGCCAGGCAGGGACCCGCCCCACCAGCCCCAGGAGGAGGCGTGGAGGACACAGAGGCATCGGGGTGGGGGGGACCGCAGAGCCAAGGGCCGGGTGGCAGCAGGGATGCGTGACTCAGTTCCTCTGGAAACAGGCCCTGTTCCCAGCCCCTGATCCGGGGCAGGCTCCCCACCCCCGCCAGGGCATGCGACCCGCGTCATCCTTCAGTTACTGGTTCCAGGACGATCCAGTGGTGACTAGTGCAAAACCCATCTGCTTGGGTTCACTTGCCCCTAAGGTCTCACTCAGGCCCAGAAGCAGATCCCCTTCAGTCAGCACCTTGTAAGGGGGACAAGCCTGGCGGGAGGGAACAGCACAGGAGACACCGGGCCCTGGACCTGAAGCCGTGGCTCTGGCCCTGTGACCACCCTGCTCGCACAGCCTCTCTGCCTGTTGGAGCTCACGGAGCCCAAGGTGCACCCGGCAGCCCCTCCTCGTGACTCCCACCTTCGACCACAGGATCGCCTGCCACTCCTCACACGACAGCATAGGCCCTCATGCGTGTCACGCCGCGGCCAGCTGTCCTGCGACACCTCCTGACCCTTGCTGGCACCTCAGGACTTCTGCTGCAGTCAGCCTCCCACTGGGACCATGCTGTTCAGCACTGTGTCCCCAGAGCCCGGAACCGGTCCAGGCAAATAGAGGCTCACAGAGAGACCGGTTCAACAGTGAGTGACAAATGACGGCCTGGATGCCCTCAGAGGGGTAGCAAGGTTTAGACGGAGTCTGGTCGCGGGGCCCTTTAAGGTTCTTCCCAAACCCGAGGTTCTACAGTTCTCTAAAAACCTAAACAAAATAAAACCGCTATGCCGAAACATAGCCAAGTTTCCCCATCAAAAGAACCAACAGATCAGGACAACACATGGCTACCAGGAAGAGCGGAAGTCAACGGTCCTCAACATTTACACTAGGTTTCCAACCCTGCCCACACGGAAGCAGACGGAAAAGCAGCAGAAGACTGAAGCATGTTCCCATCAGGAGAGCGGGCAAGAGGCCCATGCAAGCTGGGCTGAGAGCAGCCAGGACAGTTCTTAAAGGCCCCACGCCTCTTTCAGCCACAGCGGCCACCACAATTGACAGGTCAAACAGATGCTGGTGCAGGAATGTCCTTCCTGGGTGCCTCAGTGATCGAGAGAAGGGCACGAGGTTCAGACTCCGAATAGCTCACACAGGACACAACGTCACACTGAGGCAGGAGGAGGAAGCAGAATTCACAGGTAAGGCAGGATGTGAATTTAGAACGTCTTCAAAATTATTCACACATCCGGGTTCATCTGTCCCCACCCCAGTGAGAGAGGCAGGCCGGCCAAAGACCTGACTTCCCTGACATTTTGTAGCTTGAGAAACAAATGAACTATCACCAACTAAACATTTCAGCTCCACGTTGTAGTGTATTTTTAGAATTCATTTCAGGGCTTCCCGGGTGGCGCAGTGGATAAGAATCCGCCTGCCAATGCAGGGGACGCGGGTTCGAGCTGGTCCGGGAAGATCCCACATGCCGCGGAGCAACTAAGCCCGTGCGCCACAACTACTGAACCTGCGCTCTAGAGCCTGCAAGCCACAACTACTGAGCCTGCACTCTAGAGCCCGAGAGCCACAACTACTGAGCCTGCGCTCTAGAGCTTGAGAGCCACAACTACTGGAGCTCGTGTTCCGCAACGAGAAGCCACCGCAATGAGAAGCCCACACACCACAACGAAGAGTAGCCCCCACTCGCCGCAACCAGAGAAAAGCCCACGCGCAGCAACGAAGACCCAACGCAGACAAAAAATAAAATAAAATAAATAAATTTTTAAAAATTCATTTCAGAAACTCCAAAATGAAATTCACTAACGAGTTTAAGGGGAAAAGCCTTTTCCTCCCTTTGGTCCTTAAGCAGACGCAGCCTCTCTGCACACCTGCGTCCGGACCAGCTTCTGCTGGCAGACCTGCTTCCAGCCTCGGCCCCTCCCGGGGCTGTCGCCCAGGTTGCGGGCTCAGACGCTCTGCACAGAAGGTCCTGAGGAGACCTTGGAGTTTCCCCAGACCTTGCAAGGCCGCCAGGGGACGCGAGAGGGTCTCCCCGGTCCTCAGGCCCCCGCCCCAAACACCCACGCCAGCCTGGCTCTGCCTCCCGCCTCCCAGGCCCCGCGCCCGGCCTACCTGCCTTGCGGAGCAGCCCAATCTGTGAGCCATTGAGGGCCATGTAGTCGCAGTCGGTGACCACGCGGACGCGCACCCCGCGCTGGTGCAGCAGCTGCACCGCGCGGCCCAGCTGCGGGCTGGAGAAGGCGAACAGGCAGAGCTCGAGGCTGGCGCGGGCTGCCAGCAGGGCGCGCAACAGGCGGCTCAGCGAGCTCTCGCCGTGGGGCAGGTTGCAAGGGCAGCCCGAGGGCGCGGCGCCCGGGACCCGCAACAGGGCCTCGGTGCACGTCACCTGCGACGGGAAGAACAGCACCTCGCGCCGCGGCGGCGCCCGCCGCCCGGCCCACAGCCAGCGCAGCACAGCGGGTAGCGCCTCCAGGGCCAGCGCTAGGCCTCCGACAACAGCGGCCACCACCTGCCAGCGTAACGGCCCCATCTCGCCCGCGGCGTCTGAGGCCCCGCCTACCACGTGCGCCCGCTGCCCACTGCGCCTGCGCGCCTGCCTGCCGCCCACCTGCGCCTGCGCATTCAGCGCCTATCGCCCACTACGCCTGTGCGCCCGCCGTCCACGGGCCACGTGCGCCCTCCGCCCCGGGGCACTTGCTCCTGCGCTTTCGGCGCTCATTGCCCACTGCGCCTGCGCACCCGCCTGCCGCCTACGTGCGCCCGCCCACACTGCCCCTGCACGCCCAACGCCCAAAGGACCCAGGAGGCAACCAAAGAAGACGTACAGGGGCTTCCCTGGTGGCGCACTGGTTAAGGGTCCGCCTGCCGATGCAGGGAACGCGGGTTTGTGCCCCGGTCCGGGAAGATCCCACATGCCGCGAAGTGGCTGGGCTCGTGAGCCATGGCCGCTGAGCCTGCGCGTCCGGAGCGGAGAGGCCACGGTGGTGGGAGGCCTGCGTACCGCAAAAAAAAAAAACCTGGTGAAATCTAAATAAAGTCTGGAGTTTAATAGTAATGTACCAATGTCAGTTTCTTCACGTTGGCAAATGAACTACAATAATGGAAGATGCTAACGGATGAGGGAAATCGGGTGAGGGGTAATATGGAACTCTCTCTGCTATCTTTGAAACTTTTTCGTAAATCTAAAATTATTCTGAATTAAAAGTTTATTTAAAATGTTAAACACACACCTTCCATATGGTCCAGCTGTCCCACTCCTAGGTATGACCAAAGAGAAATGAAAGCATATCCCACACAAAGACTTGTACGCAAATGTTCAGAGCAGGTTTACTCGTAATAACTCAAATCTAGAAACAACATAAATGTCCGTCAACAGATAAACTTCTGCATATTAATGCAACAGAATATTTAGCAATAAAAAGAAATAAATTATTGATATATACTACCACATGGACGGATTTCAATTATGCTGAGTGAAAAAAGCCAGAAAAAAAGAGTACAGACTTATGATTCCATTTATATAAAATTCTAGGAAATGCAAACTATAGTGACAGAAAGAAGATCTCTGGTTGCCTAGAGGTGAGCGAAGGGCAGGAGGGATTAGAAAGAGACATGTGATAGATATGTTTATTATTTTGGTGGTAGTGATGGTTTCACAGGCATATTCATATGTAAAACTTGTCAAATTACGTGGCTTAAATAAAACTTTTTTAATAGAGTTCCTGAGTTTAATTCTGGCTCCCCTGCTTCCTAACTGCAGGACCTCAGGCAAGTGGCTTCATCTCTTTGAGCCTCACTTTCTTCATTTGAAATGATAATAAAGAGTGAGAAGAAGGACTTCCTGTTATGGCAGTATAAAGAGGTGCTCAATTCCTCCTTGCAAAGAACAAACATAAATTGGGACTTCCCTGGCAGTCCAGTGGTTAGGACTCCGAGCTCTCAGTGCTGAGGGCTCGGGTTCGATCCCTGGTCAGGGAACTAAAATCCCACAAGCCTCGCGGTGCAGCAAAGAACAAAAACCAAAAAAACCCCATAAAACTGGGGGAAATGGTCAAGAACAACAACTTCAGGGCACTGGAAATACCGCAAAGGCAGACAACAAAATGAGAAATGTTCGCTTTTAAAACCTGGCAGTGCTTAGGATAGGAGCAGGAGGAGGCCGTGGCGCTGTGGACTGAGGCTCCCATCCCTTCAAAACCCACCCCTCGACCCTGGCTGGAAAAAGTAGCTGTCTTACCAATGTGGGACTGGCTGCAGAAACCTACAGTTTTGCTGGCCAACAATGGTGGATTCAGTTGTGAATGAATGATCAAAACACGCAGACTTACCAGCCCAAGCTTGCAGTCCAAGTTAGGGCAAGCAGCAGATCAGTCAAAAATGTGACAGACATCCTGGAAGTGAGAAAACCATAAAAGGGCTGAGTTATGTTCTCCCCACATCCCTGGCTAACTGGGGAGCAATGTATGAGTGGGAGAGACCCAGGAGAGCATGGGGAAAAGTGAAAGCCAAGGGGGGCTTGAAAGCATTCCCCAACCCAGATTGATCAGCAGAGGGTATGAGGTCTACAGGCTCAAAGTATTTGGGTTAAACCAAAATCACTGCTGACTACCACATTAGAAAGACTCAGGGGTGACCCCTACGAATAAATAAAAATAATCTTAAAAAAACGAGCAGACACACCAGTGGCTGCAGAGTGCAGGGGAAGAGATGCTGAAGTTTAAGTCCAGGTAAGTTTCCAAAGGACAACCACCTCAGAAAAATAAAGTCCAGAGTTGCTACACTCTATTATCAAAAATGTCCAGTTGTCAACCAAAGCCTACTAGACACGCAAAGAAACAGGAGGTTTTTTTTCAACAAAAAATACTAAGCTTTCCAATCTATTCTAATCTATATCATTTCCTTCCTTCTGCTAGCTTTGGGTTTAGTTTGTTGTTTTCTAGTTCCTTAAGTTGTAAAGTTAGGTTATTGATCTCAGATCTTTCTTCTTTTTTAATATAAGCATTTGTAGCTGTAAATTTCCCCCTCAGCACTGCTTTCATTGCATCCCATAAATTCTGTTGTGTTTTCATTTTCATTTGTTCTAATTTCCCTTGTAATTTCTTCTTGATCCATTGGTTGTTTAAAAGTGTATTGTTGGGGCTTCCCTGGTGGCGCAGTGGTTGACAGTCCGCCTGCCGATGCAGAGGATACAGGTTCGTGCCCCGGTCCGGGAAGATCCCACATGCCGCGGAGCAGCTGGGCCCGTGAGCCATGGCCGCTGAGCCTGCGCGTCCGGAGCCTGTGCTCCGCAACGGGAGAGGCCCCAGCAGTGAGAGGCCCGCCTCTACCGAAAAAAAAAAAAAAGTGTGTTGTTGGACTTCCCTGGTGCTGCAGTGGTTAAGAACATGCCTGCCAATAGAGGGGACACGGGTTCGAGCCCTGGTCCGGGAAGATCCCACATACCACGGAGCAACTAAGCCTGTGAGCCACGGCTACTGAGCCTGCGCTCTAGAGCCCACGAGCCACAATAACTGAGCCCTCATGCTGCAACTACTGAAGCCTGCGTGCCTAGAGCCCGTGCTCCGCAACAAGAGAAGCCACCACAATGAGAAGCCCTCGCTCGCCGCAACTAGAGAGCCTGCGCACAGCAACGAAGACCCAACGCAGCCAAAAATAATAAATAAATTTAAAAAAAATAAGTGTATTGTTTACAAAGTGACCAACAAGAGATTAATCTCCAAAATATGCAAACAGCTTATGTAGCTCTATGTCAAAAAAACAAACAACCCAATCAAAAAATGGGCAGAAGATCTAAACAGACATTTCTCCAAAGAAGACATACAGATGGCCAAAAACCACATGAAAAGATGCTCAACATCAGTAATTATCAGAAAAATGCAAAACAAAACTACAGTGGGCACCAGCACACCGGTCAGAACGGCCATCATCAAAAGGTCTACAAACAATAAATGCTGGAGAGGGTGTGGAGAAAAGGGAACCCTCCTACACTCCTGGTGGCAATGTAAATTGGTACAGCCACTATGGAGAACAGTATGGAGGTTCCTTAAAAAACTAAAATGGAGGGCTTCCCTGGTGGTGCAGTGGTTGAGAGTCCACCTGCCGAGGCAGGGGACACGGGTTCGTGCCCCGGTCCGGGAAGATCCCACATGCCGGCGGAGCGGCTGGGCCCGCGAGCCATGGCCGCTGAGCCTGCACGTCCAGAGCCTGTGCTCCGTAACAGGAGAGGCCACAACAGTGAGAGGCCCGCGTATCGCAACAACAACAACAAAAAACTAAAATGGAATCACCATATAATCCTGCAATCCCACTCCTGGGCATATATCCTGAGAAAACCATAATCTGAAAAGATACGTGCACCCCAATGTTCATTGCAGTACTATTTACAATAGCCAGGACATGGAAACAACCTAAATGTCCACTGACAGAGGAATGGATAAAGAAGATGTCGTACATATACACAATGGAATATTACTCAGCCATAAAAAATAATGAAATAATGCCATGTGCAGCAACATGGATGGACGTAGAGATGATCATACTAAGCAAAGTCAGTCAGAAAGAGGAAGACAAACACCATATGATATCACTTACACGTGGAATCTAAAATATGACACAAATGAACGTATCTACAAAACAGAAACAAACTTATGGTTACCAAAGGGGAAACGTGAGGGGAGGGATAAGTCAGGAGCTTGGGATGCACACACACACACTACTGTATATAAGATAGGTAACCAACAAGAACCTACTGCATAGCACAGGGAACTCTACTCAATATTCTGTGATAGCCTATATGGGAAAATCTGAAAAAGAATGCATATATGTCCATGTATAATTGAATCACTGGGCTGTACACCTGACACTGACACAACATTGTATATCAACTATACTCAAAAAAAAAGTGTTGTTTAACTTCCCCAATTTTGTAACTTTTCCAGTTTTATGTTATTGATTTCGAACTTCATCTTGTGGTCAGAGAAGATACTTTGTATGATATCTATATGTTAAGATCTACTGAGATTTAATTTGAGGTCTAACCTATGGTCTATCCTGGAAAATGTCCCAAGTGCACTTGAGAAGACTGTGTCTGCTGCTGCTGTTGTGAGGAGTGCTCTGTAAATGTCTGTTAGATCTAGTTGGTTTATTGTGGTGTTTAAAGGACTATAGGACTCCCCTGAGCATTTCTTCCTTATTTATCTTCTGTTTTTTTAATCCATTATTGTGAGTGGGGTAGAACGATTATTGTAGAACTATTTCTCCCTTCAATTCTCTCGGTTTCTGTTTCATGTATTTTGATGGTTGGTCATTAGTTACGTCAGGTGTTTATAATTGTTGTATCTTCTTGCTGTACTTTATTATACAGAAGCCTTTTGTTATATATAATGTCCTTCTTTGTCTCTTGAAAACGTTTCTGACTTACAGCCTATGTTTCTGTATGCCCTATAGCTTTTTGGTTCCTCATTTCTTGCATTCCTGTCTCCTTTTCTTTTTGTTTTTTGGCAGTGAGCTGTCTAAACTCCTTCTTAACTTCCTCTTCCATATATTCTGTAGCCATTTTCCTTGTGTTTACCATAAGCATTCCATTTAACATCCTGAAGTTATAACATTCTAATTTGAAGTTATAGCAGCTTAACTTCAATAACAAAAATCCTCCTCCTTTACAGCTCTGTCCCACCCCTTTTGGTGGTTACATCTTTATACGTCATGTGCCACAAAACAGAAACTAGTAATTCTTCTCAATGTATTTCCTAAACTGTGTAGAAAACACAATTTGGAGTTACAAACCAAAGTTACAGTAACACAAGCTTTCACATTAATATTTTTTTCTTCAAAGGTATGTTTCTTGGTTATAGAAAACAAAAAGTATGGTTACAAACCATTGTTATAGTAATTCTAGTTTTTATAATTGCCCATGTATTTATCTTTATTGAGATCTCTATTTCTCCATAGGGCTTTGAGGTACTGTCCAGTGTCCTTTCATGTCATCCTATAGGACTCCCCTGAGCAGTTCTTGCAGGACAGGTCTAATGATAACAAACCTCTCCGCTTTTATCTGGTAATGTCTTGATTTTTCCCTCACTTTTGAAGGACAGATTTGCTGGATAGAGGACTCTCGGTTGACTTGTTTTAACAAAACTTTTAACATATCAACCCCCTTGTCTTCTGGCCTCCAAAGTGTCTGATGAGAATTCTGCAGATACTCGTACTGAGGATTCACTTCTCTCTTGCTGTTTTCAAGATTTGCCCTTTGTCTTTTGAAAGTTTTTTTTTAATTGTCTTTTGAATTTTATTATACAGTAGATTATTAGTTATCTATTTTTTACATATTAGTGTATACATGTCAATCCCAATCTCCCAATTCAGCCCACCAACAACAACCCCCCTGGCCACTTTCCCCCGTTGGTGTTCGTACATTTGTTCTCTACGTCTGTCTCTATTTCTGCCCTGCAAACCGGTTCATCTGTACCATTTTTCTCGGTTTCACGAATATGCATTAATACACGATATTTGTTCTTCTGACTTACTTCACTCTGTATGACAGTCTCTAGATCCATCCACATCTCTACAAGTGACCCAATTTCGTTCCTTTTTACGGCTGAGTAATATTCCATTGTATTCCACTACATCTTCTTTATCCATTCGTCTGTCGATGGGCATTTAGCTTGCTTCCATGACCCGGCTATTGTAAATAGTGCTGCAATAAACATTGGGGTGCATGTGTCTTTTTGAATTCTGGTTTTCTCTGGGTATAGGCCAGTAGTGGGACTGCTGGATCATACGGTAATTCTATTTTTAGTTTTTTAAGGCACCTCCATACTGTTCTCCATGGTGGCTGTATCAATTTACATTCCCACCAAGTGCAAGAGGGTTCCCTTTTCTCCACACCCTCTCCAGCATTCCTTGTTTGTAGATTTTCTGATGGTGCCCATTCTAACTGGTGTGAGGTGATACCTCATTGCAGTTTTGATTTGCATTTCTCTAATACTTAGTGATGTTGAGCAGCTTTTCATGTGCTTCTTGGCCATCTGTATGTCTTCTTTGGAGAAATGTCTATTTAGGTGTTTTTTGTTGTTGTTGTTTGTTTGTTTGTTTTGCGGTACGCGGGCCTCTCACTGCTGTGGCCTCTCCCGTTGAGGAGCACAGGCTCCGGACGCGCAGGCTCAGCGGCCATGGCTCACAGGCCCAGCCGCTCCGCGGCATGTGGGATCTTCCCGGACCGGGGCACGAACCCGTGTCCCCTGCATCGGCAGGCGGACTCTCAACCACTGCGCCACCAGGGAAGCCCAAATGTCCTATAAACGTCAATTAAATCTATCTGGTCTATTGGTCATTTAAAGCTTGTGTTTATTAATTTTCTGTCTGGATGATCTGTCCATTGGTGTCAGTGAGGTGTTAACGTCCCCCACTATTATTGTGTTAC